ACAATTTTTTTTTATTTTTATAGATTACGCGATAATTGTATTCACAACTTAAGCACCAAGACCATCAGCCACAATGACATAAACCACTCAAAAAAGGTTAATACAAATGTGGAAGCACATTATTTTTAGGGAGTTTCACTAAAACACCCAAAATGGGAGTTGAAATTATAAAAAAAACCCAAGTACTATTTAAACATATAAACACACCCAAAACCCATCATTATACACACTCAAAACTCATTTATAAACACACCCAAAAAGTTGACTTTGAGGTTGATTTTAGGTGTGTTTCTATGTTTAAATAGTGCTTGGGTTTTTTTATAAATACATGTCTAGGATTGAGTTTATTTATAAATTTATATTATTTTTATCACGCAATCACCTTTTTCTTTTTAAATTCCAGATCATCCCTTCCAATTTTCAGACTCTTCTATATGCCCATTGTTTTCTCTAACAATTTTCTTTACCATTGGCCCAGTTTTCACAGAGCAGCACATATGCATATGCTTTCAAATTTCCTTTTCTTCTATAGCAATGGTGCAAACCCAGATGGGGGAATTCAATTCGAAAGACCACTCTCCCAATCCCAAGTGCGATCAAGAAGGGAAAAGTTTAAATGCAAAAATTAATAAGGACGCCAAAATACATATTAGAGACATGTGACATGTCATAGTTTTCGAAGGGTTGTAAAAGGAGAAAAATTGTTAAGGTTTAAGAAGGGAGAAGAACGAGACTAAACCCTTCGATAAGAGAATTGATAGAGAAAAATTCTATCAACTTGGGTGGTGTTTTGATGCTAAAGTCCTTTAGTTTTCTTCTTGATAAATTACTCTAAAAATTATTTCCTCAAAAAAATTGACATTAAAAGCTAGATAAATTAGCATGAATACCATCTGAACTTTTGGGCATGTGTGACATTACCATCTAAACTTTTATTTTTTGTTATTAACCACCTGAACTTTGTAAAATATCGAAATTTACCACCTATGTTCTCCGTTAAAGATAACCTTTAACTCAATTCAATTTATAACTAAATTTTTTTAAAAATAGCAAATGGAGGAGTTTTTATGCAAAGGATGAGAGGGTGGGAAGAGGGATGTGATGCAATGGGTTTTGGGTGGGAGAGGAGGCTGCTGTGTGGTAGGGGAGAAAAGTTTTTCCTTTTCTAATTTTGTTACTTATATCGAATTGACAAAATTATCCTTCAGCAAACAACAGATGTGCAATATGTATGTGACTTGATTTAACGAAAATTTTAATGGAATTAGACGTAAGTGGTGAATTGCAACATTTTACATAGTTTAGGTGGTTAATAGTAAAAATTAATAGTACAGGTAATAGTCATGCACATGCCTAAAAGTTCATGTGGTAATTTTATTTATTTATTTATTTATCAAAGTGAGATAACTTCATTGAAACAACAATGTCATAGTACAAAAAGAAAAAATGAACTTAATGTAACAAGTGTGGTCTCATTAAAACTTTGCCTTTAAAAACCCTAAATGAAGGAAAATCAGGTCAAAGAAAAAAAGTACCACTACATCACATTCAATATAAAATTAATTTAAGAAAATAATTTGTCATTGGTCAAAACATCAGAAATCCATAAAGAACCATCCTAAATTCATGTGGTATTTATACAAATTTTCCTAAAAACTTTAAAGTGAGTTTATTTTTTAAACTCTTATGCACCGTTGGGTTTAATCCAATGACAGTTCCCAAGAAACTCCTTGATCCCTGTGGACCAAGATAATGGGACTGTTTAAATATATGGTGTAATGATTATGTGGTATTTTAAAGTTTTAATAATGCTATTTGTATCATATTAATTAACTATCTTATTGACCATTTCTCCAAATTGTGTTTATTTTAAAATAAATTATTCAATAATTACATTAAATTACCTTTATTAATGGGAGTTAAATTATCATTAATAGTGGCTGATTTTCTTAACGACTTGTCTGTTGGTTTTAAAGTCTCCAACGACTATTTTATTCAATATTATGTATAGATATATACTATCTATAGTTTGCAAAAGAAGACTTACAAAAAAGCCACAGCCTTCTTCCTCTTCATCCCTATGAAATTCTCTCTTTCTTTTATTTTATGTACTGAGATTTCTGAGCAACATAGTCAGAAAGGTGTTTGTATTTGGTCTTTCCTCAGTGCAAAGAATAATTTAGACAGAGAAGATTCTGGGACTGTTTTATTCTAAGGACGTAATGACCTTTTCTAAACTGCTTACCGCAGAATGTTTTAAAGAGAGCAACTTTGTACGCGACTCATCTCAAAAATTGTTCAGAGCTACATATTGTATTTTTCGAGTAACATTGTTTTTTTATTTTAATTTCTACATCATCAATGTATGTGAAACCTTCATGTATTAAAAAGGTGATCAACAATATGCTCAATAAATGTGATACAAATAGCAACAACCTTTTGAGTTTAGTTATTTTAGTCATTACAACAAAAGGTAATATCAACAGTCATCACTATAAGTCTAAACTCTCTCTCCTCAGCTTTATTATTTTTTTCTCAACCATTGGTTGTTCTTATGCATAATTTTCTCAACCATTTGACAAGATATTTGAACCTAAATAACACCTAGATATTTGAACCATTGGTTGTTCTTATGCAAGATATTTGTCCCTTTTTTTTAGCGGAGGTGCAATATTAACTAAGTATGAAAAATGATTTTTCGGAATAATCATTTTTTCAAGATAATTTTTGGCGGCTTTTATTCCTTACACATCAAATAAGAAAACTTGATTTTATGGGATTTTAGTATGAAGTATACATTGACTTAATGAGCCATCATTTTTAGCCTAAATCGTATTTTGCACTAAAACCGAATTTTCATATTTTGATTTGGTGAAAATTTGATTTTCTAGTATTTTTATTTGAATCCAAATGGGGGGTACTTCCTTATTTACATTGTAAACTTAAGTAAATGGAGTAATATAAAAATAAATAAAAGTAAAGGACAAAGACATTTACTTAAATGTTGAAAATGGAAATAAGGTAATCTATACACCACTTGAGTAAATGGGCAATTTGAAGCACCTACAATGATTTTTCGGACGAGAGGAGGTGCAGCTGCACCTCCTTGCACCTTACTAGATCCGCCAGTGCACGTTGGTTTTGTTTTTTTCGCTTTTACTGATTTTTATATTGCTCACATTGGTTTAGATGTTTCAAGGGCCAGCATGGCAGCACCTTTTTCTCATTTTCTAATTGTCACAATGGTTTTCCTTTTCAACATTGCTTTCGGTGGGCATCACCCAACCACATTTTTCTTTCCATTTTGTTTTTAAAAAAAGTTATTGACTTTGTGCTAAATTCATTCATTCTTTCAAGTAAGTTCATGATTGCAATTAAATCTTCTTGTGAAAGATAGGTGGGAAGTAGGCTTTTGGGACCGGTGGTGATGTTGAACTCATTTCTTTTTTTCTTTTCTAAATGAGCGTAATACTACACATGTTTGCTAAAAGTTTTTGGGAATGAACATTCGTTTAGAAATACTCAGTCTCTATTTTATTAAAGAAAATTTCAAGTTCAACTTAATTTTATAATAAATAAGGGAAATGCTAGCAACTTTCCCTCTAACCTTCTCCTTTGGACTTTCTCCATTTTTTGCTTAACATGTGTCATTCTCCTTATACTTAAAATCATGTCATTAATATATTATACAAGTTAACTTTTGTCTTCTAAGTTTACCCTTATTAAATGTATTCAATTTATCCAAAAAAAATTCACAACTTTCTTACCATCTTATTAAATTTTTTTTTTAAACGTCAATTATTTTTTTTAAAAGAAAATGTCTGCTTATTTCAAAAAAGAGGAAATGTCCCTTTTTTTAAAAAACACAAAGGACTTTTTTTTCCTATCTAAACCCTTTGTGTTTAAAAAAAAAAGAAAAAAAAAAGGGACATTTCCTCTTAAAAGCATATATTTTCTTTATAATAAAAAATTGACGTTAGAAAAAAAAAAAAAAAAGATGATAAGAAAGTTGTGATTTTTGTGTATGGATAAATTGAATACATTTAATAAGGGTAAATTTAGAAAGCAAAAGTTAGCGTGTATAATAGGGTGGTGATTTTCCCACTCTCTTTTTGTCCACTTATACTCCCTTTTGTTTTTTAGTAGTTTTTACTATAACAAAAAAAGGAGTGTAAGTGGACAAAAGAGGAGTGAGAACATACAATTTCTAACAAAGGAAGTGTAAGTGGATAAAAGAGAAGTTAGAAAATCAGCTCCCTATATTAATGACATTGTTTTAAGTGTAAGGAAAATGACACATGTCAAGCAAAAAAAGGAGAATGTCCAAAAAAGAAGGTTAGAGAGAAGGTTGCTATCATTCCTCTTATAATAAATAGAAAAACAGTTTGATACAAGCAATAGTTTAAATTACTCTAAGAGCATCTCCAACCGATATGTCAAAAGTGCCACATAGACATTTAACAGCTCGAAATAACATATCACATTACTCTAACTGATGTGTCAAAGCTGATGTGGAATGAAGGCTAAAAGTTGAGATGTTATTTTTGACATCCCAAAAACAAGATGTCAAATGAATGTTTTATTATTTAATTAAAAATAAATCAACACTAAAATATAATAAAATAATAATTTAATTTGACATATCAGGTGGAGATGCTCTAAGTTAATCTAATATATATCGAGGGAGAATCGAATTTCGATATAAGGGAGTTGGCTCCTTGCGCTTACTAACTTGAAAGAGGATCATTGTGTCTAGAAGGGAGCTCGACCACCCCTTATGGAGCGTGCCCCTCTCAACAGTGTTAATTATGGTTGCATGGGATGAGGATAAGCATGATGGAAGGGGGTCCAGTGGAAAGGGAGGAGGAGAGTGTCAAATTATTATATATATTTTTTCAAATGTGTGTTTTTTAAAAAAAAATTTGATAAATGAGTATATAAATTTGGGATATGACACATAAAACCCCAGTCCAAAAACCAGAAGACAATCTAAACTTGTCCTAGAGTCTAGAATTCAAAAACTTCCTAAGCTCCCTTCTTAGGATCTTCCCAGCTAGAGACTTCGGAATTGAATCTACAAACACCACCTTCCTGACCTTCTTGTATGGAGCAACCTGTGCAGCCACAAAATCCATGACAGCTTCATGGTTTAGTTCACTTCTGTGCTTCCTCACCACAAAAGCCACAGGCACCTCTCCACTTTCTTCATCAATAGCACCTGCCACAGCAACATCAAGTATCTCGGGATGGTTGATCAGCACACCTTCTAAATCTGCAGGAGCAATCTGAAAGCCCTTGTATTTGATCGCGTCTTTCAAGCGGTCTTGTAGATGCAAGTATCCATCTTCATCAAAAAACACAATGTCTCCAGTGTGTAGCCAGCCCTCTTCATCAATTGTTGACAATGTCGCCTTGGCATTGTTCAAGTAGCCCTTCATAATCCCCGGTCCATGTAGCCATAGCTCACCAATACTTGTTGGAGGCAGAGGGGATCCAGTGTTCCAGTCTACCACTTTAGCTTGCATGTTTGGAGCTAAAAGCCCTATTGAAGAGGGTTTCCTAAGCTTTTCGGTGTTGAAACCGCGAGTTCCTACCGCGGTGGTCTCAGTCATGCCGTAGCCCTGAATGAGATCAATGCGAGGAAGGGTTTGAACAAAGTCCTCTATGGTTTTCATGCTCAACAGAGCTGCACCACAAGAAACCTGCTTTAAACTCTTGAGGGTATGAGGGGCCAAGCCATCCTTGGCTCTTGTTGTCAATGCTGTCAATATTGGTGGAACAACTGGGAAGTGCGTAACTTTATACCTATCAATTGCCCTGATCGCCTCATTGACATCAAATCTCTTCATCACAACAACTCTAGATCCTAAAGACAACAACCCCATCACGAAAAGTGACAACCCATATATATGAAACATTGGCAGAACAGCTAAATACACATTATCCAAGCTTGAACCCTCATACTGTGAAGCCTCAAAACGCACAAAATGGGCAACTGTAGCTATGAAATTCCTGTGTGTCAGCATAACACCTTTGCTCGCACCAGTAGTCCCGGACGAATACATTATTGCAGCAGTGTCTTGCTGCTTAATCACTGGCCTTGGAGCCAAATCAAACCTACTATAAATAAGCTTATAAAAGACCGAAAAAATGTCCTCCTTCAAACCCGAAAGAAATTGCATGTTCTGGTACCATAATTGCAGGAAGGCCCAATGCTTGTAATTTATCAGCATTCTCAGGTCCAGTAAAAGCATGACATGCTTTGGTCTCAGCAATCTGTTTCTTGATTTCCGCTACACTGCTGAGGGGATTCATGGTTGTGACAATAGCACCAAGGTACAAAACACCCAAGAAAACAATGGGATAGTAAATTGAATTTGGCAAAAGAAGCAAAAGAACATCACCTTGTGAGATGCCCATTTGCTGGAGACTAGAGGCCATGGACTTGACAGAGGAGTAGAGCTGTGAGTAAGATATTGCAGACCCACAAGAGGAACCAATGAGAGCTGAGGAAACCCCATCATGCTGGTATGAGAAAATGAAGGAGACAACATCAAGAAAAGGGTCTGATGGGAGGTCAATGGAAAGGTGTTTGCTTTGGTAAATCCCCGTTTCTGGTGAAAACCACCAAGGAAACTGTTCTGCAGCTAAAGCTTTCTGGTTCTGAATGCTTTGTTTTCCTGAGATATGGGAGTTGAAGTTGGTGTTTGAGGGTGTGGCCATGGTAGCTAGCTAGAGAGTACCATAAAAGATTGGATCAGGTAGGTTTCTGTTGTTTTGTATCCCATGGGAGTCTAACGCTCATTTGATCAAACAGTTGGTGGCCACAAATTTCAATGGTCAATAGTGAACGAGCAAGAGATCAGGAGTGCTATATTCTCTCCTCATAAATCTTCTTATTGTTATTATAGATTATTGGCAAACAAAGTCGGTTTGGTACTTGGTGTATTTTATTAGATGGTTCATTGCTTGCTCGGAAAGGAAGGCCATTCTGGGGATGAAAAATTGCTTGATCTTGTAGGGCAACTTCATTTATAAATATATGAAACCGCATGAGATTTTGTGCATCTTCAATCATCAAAACAACACGCCTCCTGCATGCATCCCCGGTTGGAAGTCAATACTCATATGTGTCATGATTAAAACAACACAAACCCTTCAAATTGAAATTTAAAAAATAAAAATAAAAATCTGAAATGTAAGAAAATCGCTTTAATTTGGAAAAACCCTAGCCGCTAAATGAGGTTAGGTTATTTAAATTGGGTGAGCTAGGATTTTATTTTTTTGGTTGGAAAAAAGAAGCCACCTGGGCTATAGCCCAAGTTTGCCAAACTAAAGGTCCGTCCTTGGGTGAGCTATGTTTGTCAAACTAAAGGTCCATCCTTAGGAGAGTTATATTTGCCAAACTAAAGGTCCGTCCTTGCATACTTTGCCACATCATCCATTCAACGGATGACCAAACTTTTAAAGTGCAATATGAAAAAAATTGAAAGGACTCGTAATCTCAGTAAAAAAAATTACTTCACCCATTAGCATATCTAATAGATGAACAAGATTAGATTTTTTTTGTTTAGCTTTTGCGATAAACGGGTCATATATGAGACACCTTTCAACATTAGAACAAGAATATTACTAAATCAAGAGTTAGTTCACGCCCTTTTTACAACTCGCTCGTCTCGATTTTGTAACGATTGAAAAATAACAACGAGCCTTGTAATTTCTCGTTGCTGTCCACACCATCACCCATGCTGTAAGCCCATGACTGTGGCGAAGGTGGGTTGGGTCCACAACATATGATAAGGCTTGAAAGTCGCATGTAGAACATCGTGGGTTGCTTGGGCTTGTTACTAGCAGCCTTTGGGCATGTGTGCTTTCGTAGTAGAATGCGACAAATCTAGGCTCGTTCGAACGGCTGGATAGGGACTGTTGCAAGCCCCTTGCATTGCATGTGGGTTCCACACCCTAATGCAATAATCACTCTTATCAAAATGACCAAATTATTATTTGATATGTGATCATTTAAAAAAAGACCATATAAAAGAAGTTGGTATAAAATCATAACGATTAGAGAAGTGTGGACATATGGAGAAGAGCAAATAACTAAACAAAATATATAAAAAGCTCCATGATATATACATATTTTAATTGCGGGATCCTTTAAATAAGTCCACTATACATTGAATTTTAATAATTTGAACCGTCTAATTTTTAGATATTTCATCAAGAATCATCTCTGCAAAACATTACTTGAATTTGAAACCATTTGACCTCTCAATTAGATGGTTGCTATTTTAGTATATTTTCTTCAAACAGTGTGTTCATATATTTTGTTGGTCCCAATTAGATGCCTTAGTAATTTTCAATTTGCATGATTTTTTACAAAGATGATCTATGAACGAAGATTTGAAAAATAGACGGTTTGGATTGTAGAAAAAAAGAAATCATAGGGAGACCATAAAGGATGTCCCTAAAATAAAATTATTTCAAAAATTTCTCAATAAAAGAGGACTGTAGAAGTAAAAGTGTTTTTTTAATACAAAAAGAAAAAAAAGAAAAAAAGAGAGGGGCCCACCCAAGTCCGTAGACAACTCCTCTTGCTAAAGAAAAACATATGTCATTTAACACTGAAAAGAGAAATATCACCGATAATTCGAAACCCTAATCTTAATGGCTTGATCATTGATTCATTTATACGTGGTGGAGCACATTTACAACCCAACCATGCCAAAACCAAAATAGAATCATTTCCCATCCAAATATATACATACATTCAAAGCTCTGCCAAAACTACCAGAAGCACTAAACCAAGGGGACATGAGTTTCCCAATTTGTACCAAACCCATCCGAAATGCCATAATTGCAAATAGGCCATGATTTCGACACGTTACCTTGCATTGCCTTGCCTCCCTTCCCTTGAAAGCTCCCTCCTCCTCTTCTCTCCTCTCCTCCTCCGTACACCAATTTCCAACCAGAAAGACAAAAGACATGCCTCACGCGCAAAGGCCATGCAAATCTTCCTCCCTTCATATGTATAATAATAAAAATAATAATGCATTTTTGTAATTCGGTTGGTTTTTTTTCTTTTTATTTTCGCCATTTTTATTGTTGCAGATAGATCTCAGTGTGAATCTTAACTGCATGTGAAGTGCTTTTTTAATGTCAACCCAATTAAAGTATGAGTTTGGAGAGGTGGGCTATGTCCTAGGCACTGTCCACTCCACGTGCAAGCCATTTCCTAAACTTTGCATTTGCTTCTCAATAGCTTGCTAGCCTAGCACCATCATTGGAAGTAGTAGTTTTAGCTTAATAGATAATTACTTTTGTTCAAAAGTGATTAGCAGGTAACATCATGGTTCCACTTATGAAAGGACTCAAGTACTTTAAAGGTGGACTAGCTTATGACCGTCTTAGGGGGAGATATTTTTTTTTTTTTCCGACACGGGTGTAATATACTCTTCTTATTATCTCACTTTTTTCAGTTAACTAGTCAAGTGAGAAGTAAGTTAAGGAGAACGATACTTTTCACCTATAATACCGAAGTTTCTCTGTGTTTTGTTACTTAATTAACATCACAACATTTTGAATGAAATATGAATCAATACAAAATTCCTGACTCCGCTCCTAATTTTTAAGATATTGACAAATTAGTTGGTATCCAATGATAACAAAATATTGAAAGGAGTAAATCTGTAAATTCCTTTATTGACAATGAAGCATAATCGCAGCCATCTTCATCCTCTGATTTAGAATCTAGATTTGTATATATAGTTGGTAAATTATTATTCTTACTACAAATAGCCACTACAATGTTTGTACATAACAGAATTACAAAAGCTTTTAGCTGGGTACCAAAAATCTTCTAACAAAAACAAAACAAAACAAAAAACAAAAACAAATAGAACTTTATGGAGAAAACTGAGCAGCACGCATCCAAACTGCAAGTGGAAACTCTGCCTCTCTTTCTTTTCAAGTACTTCTTTCCAAGTTCTCTCATTTCATTATATGCTTTGCTTCCACCAAACTCTCTCTATCTCCATCTCTAAAAAGCAAAGCAAAGCAAAGCAAAGCAGAGCAGAGCAAACAAACACAAAACAGAAGCATTGAAACTAGAGATCATGGGGAGGCTTGCACCATTGTCAGAAGAGCCCAACATCAACGAAGAAGAAGAGGCCACAAACCGATCAAGCAAAGGCATTCTGCGCAGCACTCAGACATGGAGGAACTGGATCAAAACCCACCTCTCCTCCCTTGCGCTCTTCAACAAGAGGTCTGATTTCAAGGTTCTTCTCAGTGTTCTTGGTTGCCCTCTTTTTCCTGTCTCTGCTCACCCCAAACTGCCCCTCAATGAGGTACTGCCACTTTCACAACACTTCCATTTTGTTAACTAATATGAATTGTTTGGCCTAAAAAGAGTTATTTGGGTTGCAAGGTTGTTGTAGTTCAAGTGATTAAGCCTTGTTTAGGTTGGATTCCCCTTCTCCAATATCGCTTGTATAGAAAATAAAAAATAAAAAAGGTTCACTTTGGGAGAACATAATGACTGGCCATTGGCTAAAGAGAGCAAAGTGGTGTTATGGGTCTTCTTTTAGTTTTGTGTTTGGCTCAGCCTTTTTGGCAAGTTGCCATGCCCATGCTTGTCCCACCATGTAAAAAGGAAGCAGCTTTACCCTTTAAATATGAGATTCAGCCTTCAAAATAATAATGATTATGTACTTAATCTCTAGTTATATGTATGTTTACTTTCAAACTAATCTTGTGCTTGAACTGGCTTACAAAAAAAGTTGATTTAGGTTGTCAAATGTCTACCCTAAATTCATGCAGGGGAAAGTCTTTATTGTCCCTCTAAATTTCTTTTTTCCTTTTGTAATAATTTTCTCAAGCAGGTGTCCTCTACTGCACAGTACATAATACAACACTTCACAGCTGCCACTGGTTGCCGCAAGCTGGAAGGCAAAGTCAAGAACATTTTTGCAACCGGGAAAGTGATCATGGCAATGGTGGATGAACCCGGCCCTGGCGGCGCCTCAGCTTCGGCCACCGCCACACTTTCGGAAAAAGGGTGCTTTGTAATGTGGCAGATGGTTCCTAATAAGTGGCTGATTGAGCTAGTTCTGGGTGGTCACAAGGTAGCAGCTGGTAGCGACGGCAATGTCGCTTGGCGCCACACGCCGTGGCTAGGCGTGCACGCTGCCAAAGGCGGTGTTCGTCCTCTCCGGCGAGCTCTCCAGGCAAGTTCTAATTTCTCTCAATGAGTTGTCTACATACACATTAATAAAATTCTAACCTCTGGATCTTAATATATATTTTTTAATTACTAGAAGGCTAGCATGTCATTTGTGTCATTAATATTTTCGTTAGATCAAAATTAATTTAACAAAATCTTAGTTTGCTTCCAAAGAATGTTGCACTGGGAAACAGTGTCTCAGGGGACCAGGAACCAATAAATTTGATGTTGCTTGCTTGTTAGGTACTGCAGTTTTCAGCATGTTTTGTTTGTTTGTTTGTCCTACTTATCCCCCCAGCGGTATTGAAATTTACTGGTGACATCTTTTATGGCTTCTTTAATGTTTTGAGGTGTGAACTTGTGACTGTGTACAATTGTTAGGTGGCTTAGTGTGTGTGACAATAATAAACCCTTTTGTATCGGTACCGCTATCTCTGCACTTGTCACCTTAATTGAAATCAGTAGAAATAAGTTGCTACAAGTCAAGTAAGAGTTGGCCAGTATCTAGCCGTAAATGATTTGTTGTCGGACTGTGAATATGAATCATTAATTAAATAGATTTATAACAATATAAACATTTAACCTTCCAAGATAAACCCAGCCAGGAATATTTACCCGTATACGATAACGGCAAAGAGTTTTTATGTGGTACATCTAATGCATCGGTGCATTATACTGTTTTAGTTATTAAACCTCCTCATTATAAAAGCTCCCTACGTCGAATTCACTGGTGGAAAGTAGTACAAGTACATACCACCAGCAAGCGCTTAGAAAATATCTCGAGCATCATAATGTGTAACTTTGACGAGTACCTCTACGTTTGCATATCTAACAGATTCGTAGCGAGAATTATAAGCAAAGATCTGAAACGACCCAACAAAATGGACCCACGCTAGCTAAGCTCAAATGTACTTTTCAACTTGTATAAACAACCACCACGTTTCCCATATTTAATTATTATTGTTCCTTGTTTATTTTCTACTTATTTTTCTATTTATTGTTTAATAATATGTTTAGGTGATCTTAGCAGCCAAAATACCGGATCTTGTTGCATATAGTTTTCCCACCATTCTCCAAGTTTAAATGGCATTTGGAAATTAATTATTATTATTTCTTGATTACATTGGAGGAAAGAAACTCTACTGGAATCGATTATGGGTGCCACGGGAGAAGGGGTAATCCACCACCACTGTGGTAATTGGCGAAATTTTTTGGATTCTCTTCTGAATTTTCTTAATTATTTTATGTTACGAATTCATTTTTCATCTGTGTCAATTCTTGACGAACACAAAGACTATTGGATGTATTGATCTGGTCACAAAGTTAATGTATTCAATAGTTCGTTGAAAAATTATAATAAGTAATTGGTTATATGCATGTGAGTCTCACTATTTTGTATTAGATCCTGCCGCAGATATATTATATGAGAAAGCTGCAAAAATTCCCACAAATTTCAGGTTTAAATTGTATGGTTAAATCTTTTTTATTTTGCAATTTTTTGGGTGTAGGGACTAGATCCAATGGCAATATCAGCTGTATTTTCCCCGGCACAGTACATGGGGGAAAAGCAAATCTCCGGGGTTGACTGCTTTGTCTTGAAATTGTCAGCTGATCAAACGGACCTAACTGAACGAAGTGATAGCACAGCAGAGATGATCAAACATGTAATATTTGGCTACTTCAGCCAAAGAAATGGGCTGCTTGTGTACTTAGAGGACTCTTACTTAACCAGGATCCAATCACCTGGAGCCTACCCTACCTACTGGGAGACCACAATGTCAACGAAAATTGAGGACTATCGAACGGTGGAGGGCGTGATGATCGCGCACGCCGGTCAGACGAATGTGATCATCACACGGTTCGGGGACAATCTAAAGACGGGGGCGGCGATCACTCGGTTGGAAGAAACATGGACCATTGATGATCTTGCATTCAACGTCCCTGGCTTGTCCATGGATTGCTTCATTCCTCCTAAAGAAGTACAGAAAGATTACCCTAAGAACAACTTTGATTGGAGATCACCGTTGCATTGATGATGATGTTTGACCTCCCAAATGGCTATATGATATCCATGCCTCATGTGAGATTGACAGTCGAATATATTTTTGACTCTTCTCATACAAAGGATTAAGTGTAGATAAAGTTATTCTCAAACATATATGCTCTTTCTTTTATATATCTTTATTTTTATTTTACTTTAGGAAAGATCATCGGATGTACAAAGGTCTTGAGATAATCGTACACCTTTGACTTTTACTAGTAATGTGAAGACTAAATGCAATAGATTTGGGAGTTTATGAGAGATCTATGTCTAAAATAGACAATCTCTATTTGTATGTACATTTTCTTATGTTTGAGATTTTTAGTGGTATAATTTTGGTTTGAATTCGAATGATGTCCCTTAGCTATGTGTTATGCAACAAGACAAAACAAAGTTTAGGGTAAAATTCTAAAGCTTAAAAAGAATAAAATAACCCTACTAAAGATAACAAATGAAATACTTAGTTTTAAGGAAAGCAAATGAAATCCTTGATGTAGTTGTATATCTCTTATTAATGTTGAAAGATATTTCAAATTTGAATAATTGTTAAAGGAATTTAGAATTATGTTACAGTCAGTCGCACATGTGAGTGATTCCTGATCGTTGATGCATGTAAAATTTACAATACATTAACAGCTAGAATTCACTATATTGTGCGTGGACCACTAGCCGTAGCAAAATTCATGAGTCGATCAAACAAATTAAACAAGATCAAGTGTAGCCAAAAAAAAAAAAAACAAACGAGGCTAGTTTGTATAAGCATAGAGGTTGAAAGATGCAAGTGACTGAAAAATGGGACTGGTTCGTTATAGTCGTTGGGCTTCGCGCCTCAAAACATTGAATTCCCAAACCAAGCCGTTACTCTCCTCCTCCTTCTCCTCCGTCACCACAGCCGACAATGAAAACCCAGGTCGACCCGGACCGCCTCCGATCCGAGTCGCTCTCACCGAGTCATTCGGTCGAGGCGTCTTCGCGACCCGGAAAATCGAGACCGGTGAGCTCATACACACGGCCAAACCCGTTCTCTCTCACCCTTCTCTGTCAACCATCCACAAGGTCTGTTATTTCTGCCTCAGAAAGCTGAAAACCACAGACAGCTCTCAAGCCCAACGTGTTTCGTTTTGCAGCGACGAATGCCAACGAGAAGCAAAGGTAGGCAATTCAAATTGTGGGTTTTACCCACCAACTGTTCGAGCTTTTGTTTCTGAAAGAAGTGCTTTGTTCGGCTTCCATTGATGTTTGAGTCCGAGCTTACTTACATTTTTTTTGTTAGGGGCTGTTCTTTGATAAGTAGATTATGTTTTGGGTTTATGTATTTTTCTTCTTCTTCTGCTGCATGATTTATAGGGGTTTCATGATATGGAGATGAGAGCAGATTGGTCAGCTTATGATGACTATTGTCGGTATGTGTGCTTCCTGCATTTCATCATTCGTTGAAAGAGTAAATTCCGCAGTTTCCTGCCAATGCATAGCAATGCCTCTCATGGGGTCTCTTCTTCATTTTTGTGTGGGGAACTTCTCCACCAAGTCATACCATTGCTCCTAGTTGCACTCTATGTACTCCTATTTTTCCTTGCATGAGCCCCAAGCTGTTTTTACATAAAAAAGGAAATATAGTTCATGTGAAATGAAAACTACTAATGTTCAACTTCCATATTTTCTTGTGCTCCCAAATCCGGTAACAATTTTGTATGAAAAATTGCTTTTGACATATTTCGTTATGCTGGTTTTTAAACTAGTGTGTCAAGTCAGAAATGCTTCCAACTTGGTGGTGATAAATATTTACTAATTGTATTATTTGTACTGGTCTCTTTCTAAAGGTCTCGTGGTTTGAAATATCCATTACTTGTGAAGCGGTTGGCTTGTATGGTCATGTCAAGAGCTGCATCTGCCAACCTTCTTGACATACTCCAACCTGCTAGCTTATCTCCAGAGATGATTGTAGAGGTCAGTACCTTTGCTAATTTGTTCTAGCATATGATGAAACTAGAATTCGAAAAATGAAAGTGTATCATGATTTTGTTTATTTTACTTTCCTTATATATGTCCCACTAAGTAGAAGGAGCTTCAAAATATGTTCTTCCCGCTTCTCTAGTAAACAAAATTCGTGTTCTTGTACTGGGCATGTGTTTGTCATGCTTCTAGAACAATTTCAACCTTCATGCTTTCCCTTCAACAGGAATTTCTTGGGTTCTATGTCTTAAATAAGGTAGGAAATATTTTCAAGTGTTGGGACAAATACATTATTTTGTTTGAGTTCTTAGAGACTGAGAAGCTTAAATTTTTGTCTGATTACAGTTCGTTTGATCTCCAAAGTTTCCCTGCGTATTGTCAATCTGAAGTAAGTATTACCTGAGAAAAATATTAATTGATTTATGCATTAAGGTGACAATTTTCAGATGGAAGAGGGTTTTCGCTTGCTAAGGAGTGCCTTTGAAAACTCAAATATCACTGGTGAACAGATGTCATGTATCCCCCAATTGCCTGAAATTTAATATTACTTTCCATCTTAGATTTTATTTCACTTGTACTTTAGCAGCAGCAATTTGGTTGGGAGAATGCTTTTCTTTGACATTAGAAGTTTTAACTAAACAATGGTACATTGGTATACTGGCACGGATTCGCATTAATGCATTTCGAATAGAGTTGGTCGGTGCATTGTATGATGATCTCCTGTCATCATTAGCAGCCTCTATAGAATCTGAAGCTGCTGTTGGGAATGCTGTTTATATGCTCCCATCCTTCTATAATCATGATTGCGGTAAGCTCTTCTTGTCTTCTGGTAAAACTTTTCACCCTCATTTATTTTAATTTCGTGGAAGTGAGATTATACTTTATTTTATAGAGAGAACATAGATATATAAGAAATAAAGTCAAACCAATATGTGCCTTTGCATGTTGAGCTTATTACATGGAGTCAGCTCAGCACAAAAGCAATGAAGGTTTTAGTTCCAGTTAGTATCTTCCAGATGTTTATAAAATTATTTAATTGAGAAGTTAAATGAAACTTAATTTTAACATGTTATAAGACATTGAATAAAGTAGTATGCATGCTATGAGAAACTGCACTATGGATCTCTGACTGCACCTATACACCTCTATCATCAATCTCATGTCTGATCATTTGAGAAATTTGAATCAGCTGGGTATTTTTTTTTTTTTTTTACTACAGATCCAAATAGCCACATTATATGGATAGAGAATGCAGATGCAAGATTGAAGGCCCTTCGTGATGTGGATGAAGGTTTGTGTAATGTGCAGTAGTTTTAGTAATATTTGCAGTTATATACATGTTGCAGCTGGTTGTTTACTAAAGAATGTTGCAGTGAATGATTAAATTACTGTCGGGTAATTCTAGAAATCATTGGAGTTGAGGATGATGTGCTGATCTTGATGGGTGACATTGCACCTTAATTGGTGGGTGTGATCACCTCAATTCGAGGGATATCTAGAATTATGTCCTACAGTAAGTAATTTAGGCTTCACTGTAATATTCTCTTCTTAAACAAGCAGCTGCAATATGTGCATAGTTGTGACCGCCCTCAATAAAATGAAGTGAAATAACTGTCCCACCATCTTATTGTTAGCAACTATGGGCATTGATTTAGGGTTTAGGAGCGTCATATTTCCATGAATAGCCTTTGCATCCCTGCAGACATGCTGTTTTCATTAATGCAATACTTGTCTGAGAGCCACCATCTTTATATTGACAGTCATAATGCATCTATGCTAAGAGTATTTGATTCAACATCAAGAAGTTGGTGGAAAGTAAGGTGTCCAAGCTATTGACAGTCATAATGCATCTATCCTAGACGATTTGTCGTAACCGTATACCATTAGTAAGTGGCACATTATTTATTGATAAAACTACATGAGAAGAGCTTAGCCAGTAAAGCTCTTAATAATTTTCAGAACCATTTTCTCGAACCACTTTTTTAGATGAATGACTGTTGATTTATAGGCTATTAGCTTATCTTGTATGACTTTGGGCTAGGGCAGCTGGTCTATAAGCAGATATGACTTTGCTGAGTGAAATACTAAATGGGGACCAGAAAAGTACATTAGTATTGAGTATCTTTCATTTTCAGGTGAAGAGCTCCGGATCTGCTATATTGATGCAAGCATGGATCATGATGCTCGGCAGAGTTTCCTGTCCCAGGGGTTTGGTTTTCAGTGCAATTGCCTTCGATGTCTGTCTGGTGATTAAGGGTGTTATTTGAGAATCTGGCTTTTAATTAATTAATTAATTTTAAATTTAGGAGGGAGTTTCAAATATGAGACCTCTTCCAATCTTTTGGATGATAAATTTAGTTTTTTAATTAAGATTTTGCTATAACTTCAGTTATGAAGGTAATAATACCGGATTTTCGGGCATTTGATTTGTGTCTCATTTTGTTGATGCCTGATTGTGGGAGGTTGTATTTTGGGCCAATCTATACAAAAATTCATTTTATATGCATTAAGAAACTCATAAATTGATAAATTGGGATGCAATATCAACATGATTTAGGAATTAACCAAAAAAAATGAAATTGAGAAGTTGATGCAATGGCAGCATGATCAATAATGATCCAGCACTATATGTCATTCCGTTGTGTTTCATACAAACATGTTAACATATACCACCCTAAGCACAACAAACATGTTGATATATACCACCCTATTAGAATGGCCCTATTACCACCCGCAGTCCTATTTCTTCACCAATTTTTGACAACATTTTATTTTAAAACAATTAATTTACTTCTTAAGAAAAATTGATAGAGTTTTTCAAACAAAAAAGAAAAGAAAAATTGAAGGACTACCAAGGCAGTCATGGATGTTCCTTGGTTAGTTGGTTGTGTTGCCCACCATGAAACATGTGAAGGAATAAAAAGGATAAAACTCGTTTGTGCGTTTAATCGAACACCTTACAGTTACATGCAACCATAAAAAGCTAAAAAGATTGGAGTTTGCGTCTGCCGGGAGTCGAACCCGGGTCTATTGCTTGGAAGGCAATTATCCTAACCGTTGGACTACAAACGCTGTTCTTGGTAACTGACCGCTACCAAATTATTTATAATAAAAAGGTCGGACAATCATGGTTATTTTATTTTATTTTTAATTTTATAAACAGATCAGGTCAACTGGTTGCATGCAGGGGCGGAGCTAGAATTTCAAGGTTGGCAAGGACAATGTATAAAATACTAGTATAGAAAATACATAAGAGCATCCACAATGATGCTCTCTATTTCTTAGCTAAAATTTAGCTACAAATATAAGAAAACTATTTTAGGAGCTCTCTAAAAAATTTCAACTCCAACCATACTCCCTAATTTAGAAAGTCATAAATGCTATAACTTTTTTTTGATTGGTCCATCTCTATTAAAAAATAAAATAAAAAATAGTTAGCATTAAATAAAGGTTTGAAATACTCATTAAATAAAGCATCCTTAAATTATAGGGAGTCACTAGGAGTCATTTCTCTCTCATCAGATTTAGGAGCTCCTAGAAGACTCCTTATTTTAGGAGGTGGATAGGGAGTATGATTGGAGTAGCATATTTACAATTGCTCCCTAAAATTTGTCTAAGGAGGTGGTTTAGGGAGCCCATTGTGGATGTTCTAAGTATTCAAAAGTTACATGTTAAAACTAAACATAGTTAAGTTATTTACGTATACTTTATTGAAGCTGTGTCATACTCAAAATTAACAAGGCCTCTTTAAGTCTATTTGCATATTATAACATGTCAATATATAGTAGAGTTTTAAAATGGGGTGATCGTCTAAGAGTGGCTCCGCCACTGATTGCATTCATAAATAGTCACATATCCAAATATTTGTTTTGCATAAAATTAATAAAAGAAAAAAAGTATATGATTTTTTTTTCGAAGTGCAAACATTTTTCTTTTAAAAAAAAAAAAAGATAGTAATGTAGGTTGAAATTTATGGACTTAAGTTACGATAACTTTTTTAGAGTACAAATAACAATTTCAAAATAGAAAATAATTGACATACTAACCCCAGCCCATTGTTCATTGCTCCACGCCCTTTTTTGCCCTTCATTTTTGGGGTTAATTATATAGGCACATAAAAAACGTACCTCTCCCAAGAACACTAATCAAACATAGTGAAGATGACAAGAGAGTTCCCGCCAACTTTGCCGTTGGTCAAAAAGTGTGAAAGGGGCTGGCATAAAGAGTGCCCCTTTATCCCCAAAATAAAATCTCCCTATATAAACACCAACACCATTTCCATATTTTCACCTAACTGCTATCTCCCTCCTCCTTCAAAATGGTCTTTGCTTAACTCTCTTGAGACCAAGTTCAGAACCAGACCAAACCAACCCATCTTTCTTATGTTACAGAGCCCAAGTAGTTTACTTGCCTTTTTTATATTTGGTTCAGGAAGTGTGTAGCTAAGGTTTCAACCCAACCATGCATTTTTAATTGCAACAACTTTAGTTTGTTAAACCTTTTTCTTTTCTTTTCTTTTTCATATGATTAACTTTGTCTTTTGTATTTTCCAGTTTTGTTGGCAGTGATGGAGGCTGTGTTCCTCAATTCTTTCTCATCATCAACAATTGCACCAGATAAAATTTTGAGAGTGTCTGATCACAAGAGGGGCTGGTGCTTGTTGAGGAGAAAAAAGAGTGTAATTTTGTGCCAAGGGTCAGGTGGCAATGCCATAAAGACTAGTGGGTTTTCTTCTAAAGCTGTGAAGGATGCAGGAAGCCTGGTTTTGTCTCCAAATGATCAGAAGAGCCAGAAAGAAAATAATATTGCAGTGAAGGATTTGGTGCCTTTCGGTGGATCACCACCATCTACTTCTTTGATGGAGATGCATGATGGCATTGGGATTGTAAAATTTCTTAGAGGAAAAGGGTTTTTCATAACTGGTGCTACTGGGTTTCTAGCAAAAGGTATACACTTGTATCTTGTTCATTCTTCAAATGCTCATTTTCCATGAAATTAGAAAAATATGATAAAGGTCTTGATGTGTTATGTGAATCTCATTTTTCCCTTCTGTTAAAACTGTCCAGTTCTTATTGAGAAGATATTAAGGACACAGCCCGATGTGGGGAAGATATTTCTCTTGATCAAGGCGAAAAACAAGGAAGCTGCAATGGAAAGATTAAAAAGTGAAGTATGTTTCTCTGTGGTGTTGTGTTTCATATGTTTCTATTTGATGTTGAGTTTCTAACCTGCTCAAATCCATTCATTATTTCTACTTCCTGGCCCTTACTTTGAATTTTGGTGTTCGGTTGCGGTGTAGATCATAAATGCTGAGCTTTTCAAGTGTCTCAGACAAACTTATGGAAAATCTTATCAAGCCTTCATGTTGAGCAAGCTAGTTCCTGTGGTAGGAAATGTCAGTGATTCAGATCTTGGGCTAGAACATGATATAGCTGGTTTGATTGCTAAAGAAGTTGATGTCATTGTAAATTCTGCAGCTAACACAACATTTCATGAAAGGTTATATGGGCTTTTACCTCTGGCAGTTCTAATTTCTGCACTAAATGTGTATGAACTTCTCTGTAAGATTGAGTTCTGATTGTGATAGATTTTCATACGATTCTGTTACGCAGATATGACGTGGCTATAGATATAAACACAAAAGGACCTTGCCACCTTATGGCCTTTGCAAAAAAGTGCAAGAAACTTAAGCTCTTCCTGCAAGTATCAACAGGTAAGTAAAATGTGTGGAGAATCATGGAGTATTAGAAACCGATATCTATAGGTGATTGCCTTCTGTAAAATTGCTTTTGCTAATTCTAATTTTACTTAAAAATCTTTGCCCTCTCACTTACAGCATACGTTAATGGACAAAGGCAAGGAAGAATTATGGAAAAGCCATTTTATATTGGAGAAAGCATAGCAGGGGAAAATTACAAATCTGAAACCCCACCAGGATTTTATCCCCTGGATGTTGAAAACGAAATAAATCTGGCTTTGAATTCCAAAGGAGCTTATGCAAACAATGAGGTGGCTCAGAAGATGAAAGAGCTGGGTTTAGAAAGGTAAGCGGCTTGACTTTCTTTTATTTTCCCTTCCTTCTGCAATTTTCCTTTCCTTGATGCTTTATTTGGTTTCCAAGAAGATGAACACTGAACCATTTCATTCATATCTGTTTCTTCTAGACTTGTAAAGTTGATAAGGTCTTTGTTTCCCATCAGAAAGAACTGGTTTTCACATTAATGGACAAAACTGGGATCTGAATTGCATTGGTTAGTGTCTTAACATGACAAAACTATCATCTAATCAGGGCCAGAAAATATGGATGGCAAGATACATATGTGTTCACCAAGGCCATGGGAGAAATGCTGATTGATAATATGAGAGGTGACATACCAGTGGTTATTATCCGACCTAGTGTCATTGAAAGCACTTACAAAGAACCATTTGCCGGATGGATGGAAGGAAATAGGTATATCTCAAGTGTGAAGTTCCCTTGAAACTGAAATTGCTATTACATATCTCACCAAAGAAATTGCTTTTAGTGTTTCACATAAAGCTTTGAATTAAACCTCTATTGTCCCTATTTTCCCAGGATGATGGATCCAATTGTTTTGTACTATGGAAAAGGGCAGCTCACAGGTTTCCTAGTAGATCCAAATGGGGTACTTGATGTGGTAATTATTAATCTTTTATCTATTTCATTTGACCCTTATGCATTATATGTATACATGACATTTTGAGCAATGGATATGGAGAAGAATTTTAGGAAGAAATGACCAAATATGTAGCACAAAAAGTATGCAGCATCCATATATGCATCTATGTATGTATCACATATTCATTCCCTGAATAGTTGCTGGACTTTTGGCATGACTACTTGCAGATTCCAGCTGACATGGTTGCTAACGCAACCTTGGCGGCTATTGCGAATCATGGAATGGCTCAGAAAAAAGACATCAATATCTACCAGATTACTTCCTCAGTTGCAAACCCCTTAAATTTCCAAGAACTAAGTACACTGCTCTATGAGCATTACAACTCCTCACCGTGCGTGGACTCGAAAGGCAGGCCAATCCAAGTTCCATCGATGAAGCTCTTCAGCTCAATGGAAGATTTCTCTGCTCACATTTGGAGAGATGCCCTTCAACGAAGCCAGTTAACAGCATTAAATTCCTCAAATGGGAAACTGTCTCGGAAACTTGAAATGATCTGCAGAAAATCAGTTGAGCAAGCAAAGTACTTGGCTGCTATTTATGAGCCATATACTTTTTATGGTGGAAGGTATGATGCATTGAGCAATAGCATTGTCACTCTTCACTAAAACTAAGATCAAGCATGAATTCGATATATAAATTTATATTTTAAAATAAATCACTTGCTGCAGGTTTGACAACAGCAATACTCAGAGACTAATGGAGAGGATGTCTGAAGAAGAAAAGAGGAAGTTTGGATTTGATGTGGGGAGCATAGATTGGAAAGACTATATTACAAATGTCCATATTCCAGGTCTTAAGAGGCATGTTTTGAAGGGCAGAGGGGTGTGTAGCTGAAACATTATGATGTCTTGTGTTACCCCAACACATCTCAAGAGTCCTACAACTAATTTGTAATAAGCCAATATTACTTTCTCTTTTTCTTCTTCTTCTTCTTTTTTCCTTCTTAGCCTGAAAATCTGGTGGAAGATGAGGTGCAAAAAAGAAGTGTTGCCTCTCTCCTAGTGGTGTAACTTATTTCATTAAACTTCTAGCATCCATGGTCTTGGGTTTTCTCATCAGTTCTTGTAAATCTTCATAGAACCTGGGGTTGTTTGCTATATCTGCATGGAATGAAAATCAAGAGCTCCACTTATGGCTACCGGATCCAAGAAATTAATTAAAAGGTTCAATCTTGAACATAGGATATGGTTGAGGTATTAAGGTTGAAGAATAAATAAGGGACTTGTAATGCAAGTGGTTATGAGCATTTACTCATGCACTCGAGGTCCAAGGTTCGATTTCCCCTCTCCAATATCGCCTGTATCAAAAAGTTGAAGTGCAAATTATTCAACAAATGTTGTCCATAAAATCTGATTTCAAATTATCCTCCAACAAAATACTCTAAATGCCATTAGATCAAAATCTTGCATCCTTTCAGTATTAGGTTAGAATTCTAGGTTTTGGGCCCTCAAGCGCACAAGTTAGGAGGAGTATTGTTAGAACATTAAATTGTTGGTCCACATGTTAACAACTTTAAGTCTTGAAAGCAATGGTAAACCAACCAAATTTAACTTGGTATTTATAAAAGGGTTTTATTGGCCACTTGATCCTACACGTTCTCTGCAAATACCCCCTGAATTCTCTTTGCTCTGTGGTTGCTACCCAACCTTTGTGGTTGGGAGGCCCTACTAACCCCGAGGGTAGGGGTGTGCTTTGTGCGACTTCACCCACCAAATGCCAAGGTGAATGGTCCAAGACTACTATGCCTCACTTTCCATAGCAACCAATCATTTTAATGTCATACTTAATTACAAGCCCATGCTATTAGGCTCGTCAATTCTCTTTGCTCTGTTTTTCATTGAATACTTGTAATTTTTATCTATAATATCTGAGAAAAAGTCCTACTCATGGGTTAAAAAATAATTAATTTTAATCTGATATTTTTGGATGTATTTGATTAGATTTGAAATTTCAACACCATCCCCTTCCAAAAAAAATTAAAAAAATCCTCAACTTGGACTTTGTTTCATAATGGGTTAAAATACATGTGATTTGAAGATTCTTTCAAATCTAATAAAGGATGAACACTCTCTTAATCAAACTGTTTTTATATGGAACCCGTTGTTGGTCAACTTTGAAGAGCTCCCCATAAAGCTTGATAGGCCATCCTAAAAGAAGAAACATTTCTGCAATTGTTGGCCACCCATACCATACACATATACACCTCTTTTTTCCTTTTCTTCTTTGAGTAATTTAGATTTAAACATAAGTTTGATATTGCTTGTCCTTCTTTATGGATAACGCGGTGGCAAAAAATTTCGGTTTGACTCATAACTAAATAAGTAGTTGACAGCCCCTTTCCCTGATGTTTAAGCTATTTTGTTGAAAAATACAAAATCAACATCAGCAGATTTTTTTTTTTCCACAAATTATATTGAACCATTCTTGTAAAGAACATAGAGTTATCCTATATTAGGAAAATAGAGAATACAAGCGATGTTGGGGGAGAAACACATGACCTCTCGGATGTAATAGTAACTATTTTTAACCACTTGAGCTACAATCGCTTGTAAAATAAAGCTAAAACCTGAAGGAAGTTGAGGAGAAGTTTCAAATGAAAATTTTGAATTTGAACTTGTAATTAAAGTGCTTAATTGAACTTTTTGATAAGTTAATTTGTTTATGTTAATACATAATACAATTTTTGTTTGCTAAAGAAACTTCATTTTTAAATTGAATTTATGCACAATGACGAATATATTTTGGCTTTTGGGGCTGGAAGGTTCTCCTATGTGTGGCAGACAATTCTCCTTGCCAGTCAAATGTCCAAAAAACAGAGCAGCTCAGACAAATGATTTCGGGGTTAACTATAAAAATGATTAAATGCCACAATAATTACAAGAAGAATATTATTTATTTACCCAAAAACAGAAACAAAACCCATAATCCCATTGTGTAAAGAAAGAAAGAAAAAAACTTGTTTCTGGCCAAAGTCCAAGTCCTACCGTTTGTTTTTCAATTTTGGTTTCTTTGTTTTCTTCGTCTCTCCTAGTCTTCTTGTTCTTCTTCTCCCTTTCCGATCCTTCTCTCTGAGAGACACCAGAGAGAGAGAGAGAGAGAGAGAGAGAGAAGGGAATGGAGAGCATAGCAGTGTGGCAAGGGGCAACACTCTGTGGGATTGTGTTATGGATTATAGTAGCTTCATATCTCGATGTGACTCGAAAGCTTCGATCTTTTCTGCAACCATGGGTGGCTCAGCATGTCACCACAGACACTCCTCTCATCCTCCAGATCCAGGTTTCATACTATTAAAACCAAGATGACCCAGATGATCATTCTTATTCAATTCTGTGTATTTCAATTGTATTTGACTTTTTTTTCTTTTTGGAATTTGTTTTTTGGTTGGATTATGCAGAATTACCAGCATAGGTTCTTGGATGCTTTCTTCTCTGGCTTGTCCTGTGTTGTTTCTGTGCCCTTTTATACTGCCTTTCTTCCTTTGCTTTTCTGGGTATGCTTTTCTACTCCCTTTATTGGTGAATTTGATTTGTGTGATTGCTGTTATGTCATTTTTGGGTTGTATGCTTGCTATATTAATCAGCATTCTGAGACTTTTTTGTGTGTTGCTCTTGGCTGACCATTTGTAGAGTGGGCATGGAAAATTGGCTAGACAAATGACCCTGTTGATGGCTTTCTGTGATTATATGGGGAACTGTATAAAGGTAATCAGTTCCTTCTTACTGTTTTTTTTATTTAAATTTAAATTTTTTATTTTTATATAAATAAAGTTGGTTAAGTGCTTCATGTTCATATACCAAGTTACATATTTTCTGTGTTTTGTGTGCATAGGATGTGGTATCAGCTCCTAGACCTAGTTGTCCACCTGTTAGAAGAATAACCGCTACAAAAGATGAGGAAGATAATGCATTGGAATATGGATTGCCATCTTCTCACACTCTAAACACAGTTTGCTTGTCCGGGTATTTACTTGCTTCTTGTCAAATACATGCAGCTAGGCAAACCAATGCCAACATTGTAGAAAGCTGTTTTCTCAAGCATAAACCTTTAGGCTTACCTAATGATAAACGTGTTTCAAAAGTTATAAATACTGTGCTTATGAAGGTTTTGAATATATACTCCGAGTGAGTCAAGACATTTGGTTTAAGCTATGCCTTTGGCTGAAGACTTTTATCACAGTTTGAAGCAAAACTTTTTCTATTCAAGACTAACCAGCATTTTATCAATACGTGTGTCAGAAAGTCAAGTTCATGACGTATGAATTACTGTCATATATACACTGAACATTTGCTTTTGTGTTAGGGGTTTCCAGATACCTTTTGCATTACATCCTATCATATACTCAGAATGAAGATTCCCATGTTAAGTTTGCTGGATTCGCTCTTGTTTGCTTGCTTGTGGGTCTCATTGGTTTAGGTGAGTTTATTTTTCCCTAATGAGTTTTTGACAGCTACTTTATTTGTTTTTTCTTTAATCCCCAAGCTGAACTTGTATTTTCTTGATAGGAAGGATTTATCTCGGCATGCACAGTGTGGTTGATATCATAGGTGGGCTTGCTATTGGATTGGTGATCCTTAGGTTCTGGCTCAGTGTTCATGAATATGTTGACAATTTTATAGTCTTGGGACAAAATGGTAAGCACAGCTGCTAGTCAACTTACCATTGTATGTTTTTGATAACTTGGTCGAAACAACCTAGATAGCAAACAAAACTAAGCTTTTGAAAACTTAATAACGTAAGATGAAGCTTCTGCACTGTCAGGTGGCAGCCCCAAAGATGGCGAGCATGAAAATACACAAATAGGAAGATATGCCCACCACATGCGCTTTTGCATGTCAGGATATGGGATACATTCCATATAGAGATGGCAATTTTAGAAAGTGTTCTGTGAGTATATCCCTTGCAAGATTGAAACAGGCATGAAATTGGGTCTGATAGGAACATGAATTCACATGAGAACACATGAAGTCATAATGCGATTTGAAAACTTTCTAGAAATGCTTTCATATCCTGTTCTATTTAATAGAGGGGAGCCACCCTTTAGAAACTGGGGACAGGGACTTTGAAGTCATAAGTGGGTTGTTTTTGTGATGTCCAAAACTGTACTATGGATTTTCATAAATCTGGTTCAGGTTAAAGCAGAATGCTGAAACGTAAACCTTATTGGACTTCTTTTTAGATAATTAGAATGGGGTTACCTTAACACTCTTGGAATTGCAATGACAAATGAATTAAGGAATTTATAACTTGGCAAGTATGCATGTATTCTTACTGCACCCTGTTTCTATTGCAGTTACATACTTTTGGGCCGCCCTGAGCTTCATATTGCTCTTTGCTTATCCAACTCCTGAATTTCCAACACCAAGTTTTGAGTACCACACAGCCTTCAATGGTGTTGCATTAGGAATTGTAAGCAATCATTTATCCTTTAACATCACCCATTGTTGTTTATTTGAAATTTTCATTTACTATTATCCAAAGTTTATTTTGAATCATACATATTGCTGATTGATATATGTTATCATGTTAGTACTCTTAGTTCTTATATTCACAGTAGTTTTAGATAGAAACTTGTTCTCGAAATTTATGCAAAGTTGTGCTGTCTAAATTATACGCTTTCGCATAATATTCATAACTAAAAACAACAATGTTATCCAGGTATCTGGGGTCCAGCAGACATACCATCAGTTTCACCATGAAGCTGTTCCACGTGTATTTACGTCACAATTAACAATCCCTGGCTTTATGGGAAGAATGCTTGTGGGGATACCGACAATACTTATTGTGAAGTTCTGCAGTAAAGCTCTTGCTAAATGGATTCTTCCAGTGCTAGCTAACACCTTGGGCATTTCAATAAAATCGTCCACTTACATTGCGTCGCTAAAGGGTTCAAGTAATGGGAAAAAATCAGATGGGTTGAAGCAATCAGGTTATGTCCAAAAGCTGTTCTTTTTCTCCAGCCAAGACTCATTTGATGTTGATACTGGTATACGATTCCTCCAGTATGCGGGCCTGGCATGGTCCGTGGTGGATCTTGTTCCCTCCCTTTTTGCTCATTTAAGCTTGTAATGCTTCATTATTCTTATGATTAGCAAACACTTTAAATTTCCCAATGGAAATATGTCCTCAATTCAATTTTGTAAATAGTATATACGTTGTAGTATGAACATAAATCGATTTTGCTTATTTCCACAGAAACCCTTCTCCAGATTTAACACAATTTGGTCAATTCAGGCCTCTCATTCCCAGAGCTGCAAATCTTGAATGTGTAGGAGGAAATTAAAATGGCAATGGAGGTTATGATGAAGTATCGTTTAAATAAGCCTCATAACTCAACTGAAGAGAATTTAAAAAATAAAAATAAAAAAATAAAATAAAAACCTTGTCCTACATATGGCTTCGCCAGCCCCTAGCCCTTTCTAAACCCTTTGCAAAAATAAATAAAATAAAAGCATATGGCTTCGCCCAGGTTCGAACTGGGGACCTTCAGTGTGTTAGACTGACGTGATAACCAACTACACCACGAAACCTTGATGGTCTAAGCCCACAATGTTTTAGTATACAACCTTTTTAGCCACTATGGTAAGCGCAGCTTGCAATTTCTCATTTGACGCATTAAATGACTTTTCCCACCGTTTTATGACTAAATTTTGGGTTCGATTCAAAATCAATTTATCATAAATTTTTCATATTTGACTGAATAAATTGTTAAAAGTACTAAATGCGGCTATTAGAGAGTGTTACAATCATTTGCGACTTCAGCGAATTCAAGACATGAAAACGTGGAATGGAAGGCCAAGATTTGTTCATTAAAGTGAACTTTCTGTCTAGGATTAAAGGCACAAACCGTGCAACCAAATCGGAAGGATTGGGTTTTGAGGTTAAATAATGCATTGCGAGCTTTATAGGACAGCATATTACAAGACACCAATTGTCATGTCACCTTATCGCCTTGTTTTTTGATTTATCTGCCATCCTTAACCCCACCCCAGCAAAAATTGGCACTCTACCTGGGCAGCTCCCAAGAGCGGGGTCACACACAACATTTCTCCTGTCATAACCTTGCATTTCACTTTTGTTATTAACTGTTTAGTTTTAGGACTCTAGTTTTTTACCTATGCTTCCTAAGTTTCTATTGCAGAATCCCTCATGTTTGAACATTTGCCTCTTCTGTGGAAACTGAAGGTCAACAGTATTCGATAATTGCCAACTTGAGATGATATCAATGTCAAAATTGATCTGCTTTTGTTGAACAAATCATTTTGATGATTTTCCATCCTCTTATGCGATGAAATGGTGAGTTGGTGGAGAAAAACTTTGTTGCAACGGGAATAACACTATTTTGTTATTCCTAGCCAATAATGCTATAACACGAGTGATAACTTTTCCACATTACATATTGTTATTGATCAAGGATAGCAAAATAATGCTTCCTCCGTTTCTTGCAAGTGTTTCTCGAGTCGATGACTTTTCTATGATACTTTTATTGACATCTTGGAAGAATCCCTTCAATCGTTGGCTGTCGCCAGCCATTGGTTGTCAACTTAACAGAGTGCATGTCATCCTTCGAAAAAAGCCTTGATTCACAAGACATCAACTAAACACAAAAAACAGCTGTACACGCCAAATGCGCAGTGGCATGCATAACTTGGAACTTCTCTCAACTGGAAAAAGTCTCGACCATCCGTAGTGGCTTAAAAAGACGTTGAAATTAAAAAGGCAACCCTACTAAAAGAAATTCAATAGGCAGGGAGGATAAGGGATCCAGTTGGAGCAGTAAAAATTATGTCCAGAAATATCCCACATTCATGTCGAACTAGACAAACCTGCGTTGTCACAGTTGCAAGTTCCAACCACAATTCCTTTAAATCCCTCCATCCAAACGAACCCTTTACATTTTTATTCAATCACTTATTTGCACAATAAGCACTCGGAGAGTATTCTCTTGCGCTATAGGGGGGAGAGTGAAATTCATAAAAGAACCATCATCACATTGCCAATCATCACTGATAAAAGTAATTGAATAGAAGTGCAAAACATCCACTAATAATAAAGTTCCATGCACCCTTGAGAGCCCCAAAAGAATGGGAAGGGTGAGCAAAACGTACAAGGAGAAAAAGATAGAAGTACAAAAACCAAAAAGAATATCCACATATTCTGCTGGATATGATACAATAATTACGGTGTGTCAACAGCTAGGCAAACTATTTGGTAGGAAATCCAGCAAGGTTCAAGTGAAATCAGCAGGCACCTTACCTGTGTATTTTACATCGTCTTGGAATCCTATAACCACACAGGTAGACTTAGATTTTAAACCCAATAGTCATCTTGTGCAAAAACAATGTGCAACCAGCAGTGGAAGAGC